CCTCTACCTCTGCAGTGACCTCGGGTTAATAAAAACTGAAGTTTAATGAACCTCTGCAAAGATGGCCGCCACCCCGACCCCGTCTCCACGGTCAAAACTACGACACCAAAACCTGAATGCAGACAAACAGAGGTGGAGTCAGAGCATCTTTATAAAGTGAGAGATGCAAATAAAGGTTACTGGAAAGGACATGACAGCTAATACAGTTAGTGGTGAAATATCCACACAGCTGTGCTCCACAGTCTGTCTGCAGACTAAACCCTTTTAAGCCTTTTGCAGTTTTGCGGGGAGTTTAGCACCTCAGACTCTCACAGTTATCTCTGCTCTGGGTGCGATGCCAGCGTCATAATGGAAAGAGTCACTCAAGAAAAACTATTTACTGTTTAATTCATTTCACTCTAATTAATACATAGACAAGAGAAAGTGTAACAAGAACGTCCAGGCGAGATTTAAGACGTGACCAGTAGCTGATTCAGTGTTTGCTATCCACAAAGTGACCTGAGCTTCACATGGAGCATCGTCAGCTGATCAGAGCTGCCTGTGGCAACAGATCAGGATGAGACGGTCTGTGTGTTCACTGGGATGTCCTGAGGTGTGTGAGGGAAAACATTCAGAGGAAACCACCTGCACTGCAGCATGTAGGGAAGAAATTTCCTACAAGAACTGGTTCCCAGTAGGTCAGTAAGTTGGAATTGTCAGTTTTCTTGCCTACACTTGGGCTACAATCAGCTGATTGTAGTTTGTGTTAGGAGAGGACAAACTAACACAAGCATCTGCACAGACAGCATGCTAACACCTAGCTATCCAACAACCCAGAGCTAAAGCTGAGCGTGTGCAGACCTCGGCCCAGCAGCCAGAGCCTGAACTTCAACAGGTAACAAACTGATGATCAGTCAGGCTGCAGCCTCATTTCTACCTGTTCCTGTTTATACAGTAGAATCACCATGACGACCACTTTAAAGCCTCTTTGTGTTGGTTGTGTTCAAACCTAAATACTAAGAGGAAGCTCACAGTGTCCTCATTAGGATAGGGATCTGTGCTGAGGGGCTGTAGCCTCAGGTCTATGTTGTTAAATGGTGATTATGAGACAGATGATTTTACAGAGTCACATGAAGGTAATGTTGTGTATAATATGTGTAAAACATTACTTTTTTATAGCGTTGACACTGGTCCCACCAAAGACAGGAAATGACTCTGGACACCACCTGTAACACTTGCTGCAGGTGTTCAGGCCCGCTCTGTGTTTATGCTCACATGATTCGTGTCTTTCCTCTCAGCTTGTTCCCACTCACTGTTTTCAGTTCAGAGTGCAGAGCAAACACTCAGGCTCTCAGCGGCTAGTCACAGGTCAGCGGAGGGTGACCTCTGACCTCTGTCCTCGTGGATCGCAGCTTCAGCACAGACTGCATTTTTGCCTCTGGATGAGGAAGCCAGTTCCCGCTGCGCCTCCTCCTCGTGCACGAGTGTGGTTTAAGGAGTGTGGTCCAAGAGTGAAGCCTTAAACCTGAGGGTCACCATGGTAACTGTATTTTAAAGCGACAATACTTGATGTTATATCTCTGTGTCATCAATGCAAACGATGGCAGCGAGAACCAGTTTGAAACAGCTCTGAACAGCAAACTTCAGATCAATCTAGTGACTTTGAGGAAGAGGTCAGAGGTCAAACAGGACATGATGCTTTAAACATGTCCAGTTTCACAGGAAAAGAAACGATGACTCGTGACTCTTGTGTACGTCCTTTAAACTTTAATGGTGAAGCAGAAAAACAAAAAATACTATAAAATAAATTAGATTAGAAAAATGCCACAAGCACATTTGATTTGTACAACAAAGCAATGCAACATACTGGAATCTGATTTCCATATATACAGAATAAAAAATAGACTTTTTATTCTTTGTCCACTTTGTTCAGTGTCAGTATTTTTTTTTCATTTCAATATAAACAAAATTTGAACAAATAACAACCACGTTTTGTTTGTTTTTTATTTTTTGCTTCTTTTTGAGTTTTTTTCTGCACTGACGTTTTGTTTGTGTCCATGTACACAGGACCAACTCCGAGGTCGTCCCACAGTCCAGAAGAACAAGAGGAAGCTCCGCCCTCCTCCATGAAACCATCATAACAACAAAAAAAATCCAAAAAGTGAAAACATGTAACTTCATCAAAAAGGCGACAAACACTCCAAAACTTTTGGTGAACAAATCGACAATACTGATAGAAACACACACGACACAGAAACAGCCGGACTCTGATTGGACGGCGTTTTCTACTAAATTTACGGCTGTGGATTGTCTTTTTTTTTTTCAGTTCAGAACAATGAAGAGTAAAGCATTGTGGGAAGTGGAGTTCTTGATGTGCAGAGAGCGAGAGGATGAAACAACAGCAGAGAAACTAAAAACATGAAAACTCACTCAGGACAAAATAACTGCAGGAATCATTTTCTGTGTTTTTCTGTGAAATCATTTTGAATCAGATCATAAATTCATTGCTTTTCATTTAAAAACAAACAGATACACAAACTCGACTCTTTGGTCTCCTAAAGCAAACTAAGACATTAAATATCAACTTTAACAGCTTTAATTTCACCGTCAAAATTGAATTTTCACCAAATCAACTGAATTTTATGATTCATATGAAAATTCCCATTTCATGTATCCAAAGTGCCATGTTACCAACATTTTATATGATTAATGCTGCGTTTATGCAGCGATTTGTCTCATAGGAGAAAAACTTCAAAACTTTTACCAGATTTTAACTAAAAAAAATTTAATTTTAGCCCCTGTGTGGAAAAATTCCATAAAACTCACAACGTAACTTTAATAAAGACATAAAGGCCGCTTTGTTTTTGAGTTCATAGAGAAAGATGAGATGCTAATGCTGTAAACATTCACCACAGACAAAGACGTGAACGTGGATTGCAGAGGTTCGATAGGCGGGTTAGCTGTAGGCTAGCTATCACAGAGAACTTTAGTTAGCCTGTTTTACAAACGCAGGAAGTGGATCCCACAAAAGTGTGTGACCAGCACGTTTTCTAAGTGCTTCACTTTAGCAGAAGTCCTCGGAGCTTCTGACCGGACAGACCGGAGGTTCCCCGTGTGATTATTTAAGTTCTTAGCTCCATATAAACATATTAATCTGTACATGCTAACTGGTTGGCTAGCACAGCTATATAGCAACAGGCACGTGCAGATTTAGCCAATCAGAAGCCTCCACAGCTGACCTGCCGCTAAGTGTCAGAAAGCAGCAGGTGAGTGGAGAACGTCGTTTTCTGGAGACATCTATTGTGTATCTACTGTTAGCAAAC